GGTCAGGGTTTGTCATTTACCTGTGGGCTGGGGCAGAGGAAGGACATCACCCTAGGTTGGGCACCTGCCCCAGGGGTCCAGGAGGGGGCTGACGGCAGGAGCTGGAGCCCATGAGCTGAGGGGAGGGGATGGGAGCACAGTGGCTCATTTGAGAAACGTTTAGAAGGCAGAGCTGATAGTATTTGCTGCCACCCTAGAGGTGATGTGAAAGAGAGGAAGAGGGTGGGGATGACGCCCGGGTCTTGTGAGACGGGGGGGCTGGTCAGGGGGACCAAGATTTTGGATTCAGGGCCGGGCAAGGTGGCTCACTCCTGGAATCCCAGCACTTTCAGAGGCCGAGGTGGGAGGATCACTGGAGCCCAGGTACCAGCCTGGGGAATATTGTGAGATGCTATCTCTACAAAAAATAAAAAATTAATAAATTAGTTGGATAAGGTGGTGCCAGCCTGTGGTCCCAGCTTCTTGGGAGGCTGAGGCAGGAGGATCGCTTGAGGCCGGGAGGTCGAGGCTGCAGTGAGCCAAGATTACACCACTACACTCCAGCCTGGGCGACAGAGGGAGCCCATTTCTCAAAAAAAAAAAAAGAGGGAGAGGAGATTTGAGACCCTGAACTGAGCCAGGACATCCCCCATCCTGGGGAGGTAAAGCTGCAGGAGGGGTGGGGGCCCCCTGTTTGAAAGGCGGGTGACAGATCCAGTGAGGTGGCCCTGGGCAAAAATCTGGCTCAGATGTTTTGGAGAGTCAGGACGGAGAGGATCAGGGCATTTTGGAGTTTCACCCAATTTTCATTGTAATTCTGGAAGAGGGTCCGGCATGGGGACTCACACCTGTAATCTTAGCACTTTGGGAGGCTGAGGCAGGCAGATCACTTGAGGCTAGGAGTTTGAGACCAGCCTGGCCTGGCCTGGCCAACATAGTGAAACCTCATCTCTACTAAAAGCACAAAAATGAGCCGGCCATGATGGTGGGTGCCTGTACTCCCAGCTACTGGAGAGGCTGAGGCAAGATAATTGCCTTAATCCAGGAGGCGGAGGCTGCAGTGACCCGAGATCCCCCCACTGCACTCCAGCCTAGGTGACAGAGCGAGACTGTCTCAAAAAAGAAAAGAAATTCCGGAAGACGGAATAGGGGAGGGTTTTTGTATTTTTTAGAGGCAGGGTCTCACTCTGTTGCCCAGGCTGGAGTGCAGTGGTGCGATCTCCACTCATTGCAACCTTTGCCTCCTGGGTTCAAGGGATTCTCTTGCCTCAGCCCCCCGAGTAGCTGGGATTACAGGCGTGAGCCACCTCGCCTGGCCTACATTTTTTATTGATAAAAAGTATGCAACGTGAAATTAGGCATTTTAGCCAGTCACAAAAAGACAAATACTCTGTCACTGTACTTACATGAGGTTCCCAGAGTCATCCCACTTAGAGACAGAAAGTGGGATGGGGGGTGTGCCAGGGGCTGGGGAAGGGGAATGTGGAGAGACTATTTAACGGGGACAGTTTCAGTTGGGGACGAGAAGGTTCTGGAGATGGCTGCTGATGCTAGTTGCACAGCAATGTGTACTTCACAGACGGCTTTGATGGTAAATTTTTGCCACATAAATCTCACCACAATTTTAAAAAATCAACCATTTTATTTATGTATTTATTTTTCTTTGAGACGGAGTCTCTCTGTTGCCCAGGCAGGAGTACAATGGCGAGATTTCTGGCTCACGCCTGTGATCCCAGCACTTTGGGAGGCCGAGGCGGGTGGATCACGAGGTCAAGAGATCGAGACCATCCTGGTCAACATGGTGAAACCCCGTCTCTACTAAAAATACAAAAAATTAGCTGGGCATGGTGGCGCGTGCCTGTAATCCCAGCTACTCAGGAGGCTGAGGCAGGAGAATTGCCTGAACCCAGGAGGCGGAGGTTGCAGTGAGCCGAGATCGCGCCATTGCACTCCAGCCTGGGTAACAAGAGCAAAACTCCGTCTCAAAAAAAAAAAAAAAAATGGCGAGATTTCAGCTCACTGGAACCTCTACCTCCCAGGGTCAAGCGATTCTCACGCCTCAGCATCTGGAGCATCTGGGATTACAGACGTGTGCCACCATGCCTGGCTAATTTTTTTGTTTTTTTTTTTTTTTTTTTCTTTTGAGACAGTCTTGCTCCATTGCCATGTGCCAAGCTGGAGTGCAATGGCACGATCTTGGCTCACTGCAACCTCCGCCTCCCAGGTTCAAGCAATTCTCCTGCCTCAGCCTCCTATAATTTTTGTATTTTTAGTAGAGGTGGGGTTTGCCATGTTGGCCAGTTTCGAAATCCTGATCTCAGGTGATCCTCAGGTGATTCTCGAAGAGGGTGTGGAATAGGGGAGAGTTTTGTTTTTTGTTTTGTTTCATCTTGTTTAGAGACAAGGTGTCACTCCGGTGCTCAGGCTGGAGTGCAGCGGTGCAGTGTGACCCGCCTCTGCCTCCCGGAGTTCCGGCATTACCGCAGGCATGAGCCACAGCACCCAGCCAAAAATTAACTACTTTGAAGGTGAACAGTTCATCAGCTTTCAGTATATTCGGTTTTGTTCAACCACCCCTCAGTTTAGCTCTAGAACATTCTCATCCCCCACAAAAGGAAACCCATCCCCATCAGCAGATACTCCCCATTCCCCTCCCCCAGCCCATGGCATCCACCAATCTGCTTCCTGTCTCTGTAGATTTGCTTGTGGCCTTCTGTGTCTGGCTTCTCTCACTTAGCATCATGTTTTGGGGTTTCACCCACATTGTAGCGTGCATCAGTGCTTTGTTCTTTTTCATGGCTGCATAGTATTCCACTGTGTGGACGTATCCTAGCCTTCATTCATCTGCTGATGGACAGTCGGGTTGTGTCTGCCTTTTTGTTGTGTGCTGCTGTGGACACGGGCACATGAGTATCTGTTTGAGCCCTGTTTTCCATTTTCAGGCACACAGCCTAGCGGACTTGCTGGGTCATGGTGACTGTATGTTCACGGCCATCAGGGCTGTGTGAGGACAGTGGACAAACAGGCATGGGGGCCAGGGATCGCTGGGGATACGTCGGCAGGAGACGGCAGTGCCTGGACTGGGGTGAGGGTGGCATGGTTCAAAGAGGTCGGATCCTTGATGGGGGTGGGGGGGTCCCTGTGCAACTCAACTGCAGAAGGGGCCAGGCCAAGTTGAAACTTGTCACAGAGGTGGTGTTTGGGGGCATCTGGGGGCAGCTGGGTTCCAGGGCATGTCACTGAGGCAGGGGACAGGAAGCCCCAGATGGAGGCTGGGGGTTTGTCTTGGGGGTCTGCAGAGAGGCAGTGGTCAGTGAGCAGGGAGCAACCCCCAGAGAGTTCCAGGTTAGTGTGGGCAGGGCCCAGCGTGGCCCCCTGCCCTTTTTTTTTTTTTTTTTTTTGAGACAGGGTCTGGCTGTGTTGCCCAGGCTGGAGTGCAGTGGCAAGATCTCAGCTCATGCAACCGCCTCTGCCTCCAGGACTCAAGTGATCCTCCTGCCTCAGCCTCCCGAGTAGCTGGGACTACATGCATGTGACACCTCACCTGGCTAATTTTTATATTTTTTTTGCAGAGGGAGGGTCTCAACATGTTGTCCAGGCTGGTCTCGAACCCCTGAACCCAAGCAACTCTCCTGCCTCGGCCTCTTAAAGAGCTGGGATTACAGGCATGAGCCACCGTGCCCAGCCAGAGCATGGCCCTTGACTTTGGTGTCTGGCAGCCCCTGGGGATGTGGCTGAGGAGGGGAGAAGGGGAATGTGGTGGGGTAGGCTGGGGTGTCACCTGTCACCTGGGTGTGGTGGTCAGGTGCACCAGGAGGCAGGAGAGGGGGAAGGTGAGGCAGGAGCCACTTGGTGGGAGACCCTGCGCTTGGTGGCATGGCAAGACTCGGTGGGCGGTCACCTCTGTCAGAGCCTGGGATTTGTAGGGAGGGGGCCCAGGACACCCACCAGGCAGGGGCCTGTTAAGACAAAGACAGAAAAGGGACAGGCGCAGTGGCTCATGCCTGTAATCCTGGCACTTTGGGAGGCTGAGGTAGGCAGATCATCTGAGGTCAGGAGATCATGATCAGCTTGGCAAACACAGTGAAACCCCATCTCTACTTAAAAAAAATTAGCCAGGCATGGTGGTGGGTGCCTATAATCCCAGCTACTCAGGAGGCTGAGGCAGGAGAATCACTTGAACCCAGGAGGTAGAGGTTACAGTGAGCCAAGATTCCACCACTGCACTGTAGCCTGGGTGACAGAGTGAGACTCCATCTCGTAAACAAACAAAAAACCACAGAAGGTAAAATGGGAAGGGGAGATGGGCCGGGCGAGGTGACTCATGCCTATAATTCCAGCACTTTGGGAGACCAAGGCAGGAGGATTGCTTGAGCCCAGGAGTTTGAGACCAGCCTGGGCAACATAGCAAGACTCTGTCTCTACGAAAGACATAAATACATTGCCGGGCGCGGTGGCTCACGCCTGTAATCTCAGCACTTTGAGAGGCCCAGGCAGGCCGATCATGAGGTCAGGAGATGGAGACCATCCTGGCCAACATGGTGAAACCCCATCTCTACTAAAAATACAAAAAAATTAGCTGGGCACAGTGGCATGTGCCTGTAACCCCAGCTACTCAGGAGGCTGAGGCAGGAGAATTGCTTGAACCCAGGAGGCGGAGGTTGCAGTGAGCCGCGATCACGCCACTGCACTCCAGCCTGGGCGACAGAGTGAGACTCTGCCTCTAAATAAATAAATAAATAGATAATCCAGGCATGGTGATGGGTGCCTGTGGTCCCAGCTACTCAGGAGGCTGAGGTGGGAGGATCACTTGAGCCCAGGAGGTGGAGGCCGCAGTGAGCTGAGATCACAACCCTGCACTCCAGCCTGGCTGGAATGAAAGACTTACAGTGCAAGACCCTCTCTCTAAAAATATATATAAAATTTTAAATGTATATAATGATAACGTGTCTATATTAGTTCAGCATTTGCAGCAAATGTGCCACGTAAAGCCAGGGGAATGGAAATCCGTAGGGGCATCGGGGCAGGAGAGATAAAGGAACTTTCTTTTTTTTTTTTTTTTTTTTTTTGAGACGGAGTTTCACTCTTGTTACCCAAGCTGGAGTGCAATGGCGCGATCTCGGCTCACCGCAACCTCCGCTTCCTGGGTTCAGGCAATTCTCCTGCCTCAGCCTCCTGAGTAGCTGGGATTACAGGCACGTGCCACCATGCCCAGCTAATTTTTTGTATTTTTAGTAGAGACGGGGTTTCACCATGTTGACCAGGATGGTCTCGATCTCTTGACCTCGTGATCCACCCGCCTCGGCCTCCCAAAGTGCTGGGATTATAGGCGTGAGCCACCGCGCCCGGCCTGATAAAGGAACTTTCTGTCCTATCTGCTCCATTTTTCTAGACTCCAGCTGGGCGCAGTGGCTCAAGCTTGTAATTCCAGCACTTTGGGAGTCCGAGGCGGGTGGATCATGAGGTCAGGAGTTTGGGACCAGCCTGTCCAATATGATGAAAGCCCATTTCTACTAAAAAATATAAAAGTTAGGCCGGGCGCGGTGGCTCAAGCCTGTAATCCCAGCACTTTGGGAGGCCGAGGCGGGTGGATCACGAGGTCAGGAGATCGAGACCATCCTGGTCAACATGGTGAAACCCCGTCTCTACCAAAAATACAAAAAATTAGCTGGGCATGGTGGCGCGTGCCTATAATCCCAGCTACTCAGGAGGCTGAGGCAGGAGAATTGCCTGAACCCAAGAGGCGGAGGTTGCGGTGAGCCGAGATCGCGCCATTGCACTCCAGCCTGGGCAACAAGAGCGAAACTCCATCTCAAACAAACAAACAAAACAAACAAACAAAAAAAAAAATACAAAAGTTAGCCAGACGTGGTGATGTACACCTGTAACCCCAGCTACTTGGGAGGCTGAGGCAGGAGAATCTCTTGAACCCGGGAGGTGGAGGTTGCAGTGAGTTGAGATCATGCCATTGCACCCCAGCCTGAGCGACAAGAACAAGACTCCATCTCAAAAAACAAAGAATTGGGAATGAAAAGCCAGCAATCAGAGATGTATGGTTACCCTGGTACTGAGGACATGGATGTCTTGGGGGGTGTAACTGGGTCACAGAGGGGTGTCTCGAGGCTCCACAGGCCCCTGACTGCGACATTTGGCTCTCCCCAGATTGGACGCCGGGCATGGAGGTGCCACGGGACATTGCAGCTGCCTACCTGCTCCAGGGAAGCTTCTACGGCCACTCCATCTACGCCACGCTGTACATGGACACCTGGCGTAAGGACTCGGTGGTCATGCTGGTCCACCACGTGGTCACCCTCGTCCTCATCGTGTCCTCCTACGCCTTCCGGTAAGGACAGGATCAGGTGGCTGGGGTCGAGGTCCAGCCATACCCACCTCCCCTCACCCACCCTTCAGCTCTTTGGATTCTGCCCCTCACCAGCCAGGTCACCCACTCAGGAGTTCCTGAGTCCCTGCCATGCCCAAGCAATGGGCGCGGGGCCGTGAACGCAACTGATGCACCCTGATGTTCTAGAGCCCACCAGGACGCCACTGAGCTTTTCGGACGGAGTCTGTGTAAGCCTGAGCGTGCTGTGTATAAAAGCCACCCGGCTTCAAAGCGCTCATAGACAAGCAGGAGCTAACATATCTTATCTACTCTTTTATCTCTCTCTCTTTTTTTTTTTGAGACAGGGTCTCATTCTGTCACCCAGGGTGGAGTGCAGTGGCGTGACCATAGCTCACTGCAGCCTGGACCTCCTGGGCTCAAGCAATCCTCCCACCTCGGCCTCCCGAAGTGTGGGGATCACAGGCATGTGCCACCACACCTGGCCTTGTTACCTCGATTCCATATTGAAATGACAATGTTTTGAATATATTTAATTAATTAGAATGCATTATTTTATTTTATTTTTGAGACAGAGTTTTGCTCTTGTTGCCCAGGCTGGAGTGCAACGGCATGATCTCAGCTCAACACAACCTCCGCCTCCCAGGTTCAATCCATTTGCCTGCCTCAGCCTCCCAAGTAGCTGGGATTACAGGCATGCGCCACCACGCCCGGCTAAGTTTTCGTATTTTTAGTAGAGACAGTTTCTCCAGGCTGGTCTCAAACTCCCGACCTCAGGTGATCCGTCTACCTCGGCCTCCCAAAGTGCTGGGGAGACAGGTGTGAGCCACTTTGCCTGGCTAGAATGCATATTAAAATTAATCTTGCCGGGCGCGGTGGCTCACGCCTGTAATCCCAGCACTTTGGGAGGCCGAGGCGGGTGGATCACCAGGTCAAGAGATCGAGACCATCCTGGTCAACATGGTGAAACCCCGACTCTACTAAAACTACAAAAAATTAGCTGGGCATGGTGGCGTGTGCCTGTAATCCCAGCTACTCAGGAGGCTGAGGCAGGAGAATTGGCTGAACCCAGAAGGCGGAGGTTGCGGTGAGCCGAGATCGCACCATTGCACTCCAGCCTGGGTAACAAGAGCGAAACTCCGTCCCAAAAGAAAAAA